GGGGGGGGGACCAAACCCGATATCAGCCCGACCACCACAAAGGGGGTGATCGAAACCACTACCCACTCTCACATACTTGTTTGAAGCCCATCACTGACCAGACACCGAGGAACCATCACAACCCTCCATGGCGACCTGTTTGAAGGTAAAAACCCATTGCAACCCCGTTCGATGAGACTCCAAAAGTCAGTCGTACAACCGATAACGGCATCATCGTGATGGCTAAGAGGCCCTGTTCGCTCGCCTTACCTGACCCGATTGCTTTATTTGGCTATATCTTCATTTAGTAATAGTATTTAATTCTGAATCCGTCCAGCTCAGCTCGGATGTCAACAGATGGTACACATATCGCGATAACTGTACCTAAAAGAGATCAAATTCATTACAGAGAAAGGAAGGGATACCGACTACAAATGTTTTAGCAGTTTATGACTTTGATTTCTTGTACACATGTGTTTTATTATGATGGGAGGGATCAACACGTGATTCTAGTACTTTTCTTGATACAATCCATAATCTAAATCTCAAATTTTTTAGACTATCAATAGGTATCTTGTACTTATAATTTATATGCAATGTCGCGCACACACACTCGCACGTGTTAGATATAATTTTCATTCTATAACTAGTGTTCATTTAGGTAAATATTAATTAATAGACAAAGGCAACGAGCTACCAAAGAGAAGGTTATTTAACACCTTACACCAAGACAAGATGTCATCAATTTGAGTGTCATATAGTTCAAATCCGAGGGAATCTCAAAAAGTTTTTAATCGGGCTCACTTGTCTTTAAGAAATTGCATTGAAAGGGCTTTTGGTGTTCTTAAAGTTAGATGGAAGATACTACATAAAATAATGAGATATTCATTAATGAATCAAAATATAATCATTTGTTCATTATATATGCACTTTTCAATTATATTAGAAGAAACACAATTGGTGATCGAGGCTTTAGAGTTATTGATGCGTATCCTAAATTCATACCTAAAGATGTTTTTCAAAATGTTTAAAATAATTTTGCACTAAGTGATGGGGAGATGACAAGCATTCGTAATAATATAGATTCAAGTTTGATGACATCCAAACGTCGTAGTTAGAGCATTAGTTTTTTCTTCGTTTGTTTTTGTTTTTCAATGATATTGCAATTTACTCATTTTTTTTTTTACTAGTGATGACTTGCTATTGACTTTGTTTATATGAGATGAACTTGTTTACTTGATTAAGACTCATTTTATTATTATTTATATTTTTATCACTTGTGAGTCCTTCGACAACCCGTGCCTCCAACCTGGCCGGGTACATTTTTCAGCCCACGCCTACAACCAGGCCGGGTATCAGTTGTAATACCATGTCAAACGGGGCAAAACGAGTGCAATCCACACAGGATAGAACATCACTAAAGTGCATCTAAGCTCACCCTCTCGTTTCACCTGGTGGAACCGCATCCTCTTCTCATGGTTCTAATACATAAACATACGCGTAAAAATAAGAAAAAACATATATAAGGATTAAAAAAATATACAAAAACAATGTACATAATAATAATAAAAAAAGTACGAAACATAGATGAAAAATAATAAATATATATATTTTTTATTTGTAAAATATATTAGATTATTAATGAATATAGAAAATTACTTTTCTTTAAGAAAGTAAAAAATAAACTGTCCAAGAACAGCAGATAAGTTTTAATTCCGAAAACATCTCCTTTTATCAGTACAACAAAAGCTGATGGGCCCAAAAAAAAAATAAAAAAATAAAAGAATTCAAGATCTATATTATGTTACATCAATAATGACTTTAGTGGGAAGATGGCAGATTTTTTTATTTATTTATTTTTTTCTTATATTACTGACGGGATTTAAAAAAAAAAATAAAAAAAATATAATAAAAAATAAGAAGACAAATAATAAAAAAAAAGAATACAAGATGATGTTGAAATTTGATTTTCGACTTGCAATTTGAGTAAGACCGAGTCAATTTCAAAGTCGATGCCTTAGACGCAGCGAATGTAGACTTTATATAATTCCAATTGAACACAACTCTATAGCCAAATAGTGTGCGTCAAGTTACACAAGCTTATGTCCCTTCGGGACATCCGATAAAATTAGAACGGTACAAAATTAACATGACTCTTGCGCAAGGATGACATGCATAAATCGAGAAGTTACACACGCTTATGAGATATTATATATTTTTTTTTTTTAGAAAAGAAAAATATATGGACTTATAAATTAATTAATATGGTTTAATTATTTTACTATTATTATTTTCCAACACAACACAAACTTGAATAAGAGTAAGCCAGATTTAGAACGCGCTGGTTAAGTGGATTTCTATCTAGAAAATCTCTATACTTATGGGACTGATTTTTTGATATTTTTTCCATGTCATTTGCCGCGAAGGAGTTAAATTGGTCAGCTGTAATATTATTAAGACACGCCGGCAAGACATGTCATTTTCGGGCCGGAAAATGTAGTTTCGGCAACAATTGTCCTTACTTTGATTGAATTTAAAAAGTTAGGAGACTGCTTTTTGGAAACACCATTTCAACAGGATCAAAAGTGGAAACTCGAATACAACAGGACTATCTTTGATAATTTTTTTTTGGTACAATAAAGGGAGGCAAGGCCTACACAAACTATAAGATAATCTTCCGAGGATAAGACACGCCGATCACGTCATGATGTAACCAGATTCCCGCTCCCGACGAAAGGAACTCCAATCGATGAAGACCACCCGAACTCTTAGCCGCAAAGGATGCTAAATAATCCGCCACAAAATTAGCCTCTCTATAACCATAAAGAATCTCCACAATTCAAGGGCGGCCCAGAAACTCCTTAATCCCCTTCACCACGCTCCCATGAAGAATCTCCACAACTTAAAGGCGGTCCAGAAGCTCGAATACAACGGGACTATCTTTGAT